CTATATTGTTTATAATTGTGTAATATTGATATGTTGATAATATTCTATATTGTTTATAATTGTGTAATATTGATATGTTGATAATATTCTATATTGTTTATAATTGTATAATGTTGATAATCAAAGAACATTTACAGCTTATCTTGGTTTAGCCTGGATATATCAGCAGATCAAAGAACATTTACAGCTTATCTTGGTTTAGCCTGGATATATCAGCAAATCAAAGAACATTTACAGCTTATCTTGGTTTAGCCTGGATATATCAGCAGATCAAAGAACATTTACAGCATATCTTGGTTTCTTGGTTTGCCCTAGTAAATATACCAACAGATTAAACGAGAACTACGAACCGGTTGCTTTGTCCTCGTAATTATAACAGATGATTAACAAGAGTTATAGACTACTTGATTGTCAATTTAATTACATCAGTAGGTCGAATGATACATACAGGTTGTGTGGTTTATTTTAGTTCATATATTATTGCAATAAACGAACATACAGACTGTTTGGTTTGTCCTAGTAAATATATCACTAGATTAAATGAGAATTACACATTGTGTAATCTGGGTATTAGTGATAATTTGATGCAGTGGTAGTACCGATTTTAAACACCAGTGTCGTGTGGTTAGACGAATATTATACTAAAGACAAAACAGAGTTAGTAAATGCCTTTTTCTTATCACTCTAAGACGCGTCTTTAAACAAATAAGTACGTACATATGAATATATTTTTTTCTGTTTTTCTTCTTAACTTAAGATTTCATATACAAACTGTGTACATTTTTGATTTCCGCGAGCTCTTTCAATCTGCTCTGTTTCTGTTAATGAGCTTTTATTTATCGCTGTTAGATTGACTAATCAATGTTTTACAAGTGAAAATAAATTTTCTATCAACCAGTTGCGGTAGTCCTTGATGAAAGCCAATTCACGTATATTTTACAATGTAAAAACTAGATCAAGGTTTGTTGACTACCATGTGCCATCGCTCTGTTTCAAGGCACACTTGCATGGGGAAAACTGTAAGCTCATTCTCACAGGGTAGAGAAAAGTATCGTCCTGATTTCTAGCAAAAATGTACGTGTCAGTTAAACGTAATCAGTTTAAACTTTCAGAATAAAGAAAGACGCAACACAAACCTAACACGGTAGTCAGTTTTCTGATAGAGTTTAAGCTGTTCAGCGTGCTGACCTGCCATTTGAAACTGGTATCTCCGTGAAGACAAGTGGTTCCAAATAACGAAATTTTTTTTTAAACCAAGTTTAATAGATTCGTTTATAATCACTGAATTTGCTATACGTCAAAATGTGGGTATGTCAAGTGAGTATAACAGTGGTTCTGTAACATGTTAAGATGTGTTTTCACTAAGTATTTTGAAAAAATATCTTTAAAAATTGTTCTATTTAATTTTCAATATTGACAATAACACACGCTGTGATATAGTTCTACATAAATATATTTATAATGGTTTAGTACTAGTTAGCTTAGTTTTACTAGTAATATAACATTATTATAAATACAGTTTATGAGATTAAACTAACTAAATAAAAATGTTATTTACTGAGTTTTATAAACATTTTTAAAGATAAAAAGTTTGAAAAGTACAAGTTTAAAATGAGCAAAAAGATGTAGCTTTAAAAACTACTGATCAAATACGCAAGGTATTTAAAACTCCGTTGAATAATTTTTATATTTTGTACTTTATTTCAGATGTTCCTAGTAATTATGATAATCGTGGCTGCCACAGGTGGTGTTCCGATCGAACCTGATCAGGACGAGACAGTCCCGCCAATGACTGAATTTTCGAATAAGGGTACAATTGAACCTATTAGAGAACTCACGAAGAAAGATACCAAGAAATTAGATAAAAAAGCTAAGTGGGGAGATACGAGTCTTCAGTATCATAGTGGTGATGTAAGTAATTAACATGTATTGTGAGATGAAAAATAAATATATGATATTCCGCAGTTTCATTACAGTGACATATGCATAATATTATGTAGTATCATAACAATAAATTAGAAGTTATTTTACAAAGTATGATAGTTGTTACGTGATATATATTATTATACAACTTCTAAGCAATGACTTGCGCATAATATTACGCACTATCATAACTAGCCAGTTGTATTAACTATCATGTACGGCAATACTAATATATTACTGGCAACTACAGACAATTTCTATAATACTACGTATGTAATTTGTAGATATTTCTGGAGTCATTGTTATTTTACAGACGATGTTTGAAAACAAACGCTTCGTCATATTGAACATATACTGGTACTGATGGTACTGTCTGTTTTTTTTCTTTCTTCAGTCTGAGGGAAAGTTTGTGTTTGGGTACCATGCAAACCACAAGGACGGCGGGTCTTTCCGGAGGGAAAGCTCTGACGCTGACGGCAATGTTATTGGTTCTTACGGGCTTAGAGCTGCTGACGGGCGGATCCGGATCGTTAATTACTTTGCCAATGACCGAGGTTTCAACGCTGAAATAAACACCAATGAACAAGGCGTAGATTTAGCCAGTGCTGCTAATACACTAGTGGTTAAAGGACATACAGTAGGTGGACCCGCTGAAATCGGAACTTTCATCCCTGGAGCGAAAACTGTTATCCTCTTTTATAGCAACGTTCCACCTTTTCTGGAAGCGTTAGGCACTCCGGATTCTGAAGAGACCAATCTATAACACTCATGTTAAAGCTTAAGCTGAAGAAAATGTATTTATTTTTCTACCTGTTCTTACTGGATTTCTGGAGAAAAGTAAATGCCAATCCTAAACAGGATTTGAAATGGGGTATATGCTTAAACTTAATTAATTGTAGTAACATTACATAGTGTACTTTGAAAATAATAACAATATTAACTTTACAACTTAATGTTAATTGATTAGATAAAAAAAATCAAAGTGTAAATACTAACTACGTATACATATCATTATAACTGCATCTTTCAGTAGAAGGAAACAGGAAATCTCCTGAAAAGAAATTAATTCATGTCACAAAACAGATTCTTTTCTAACAGTATACGATGAGAAAAATATTGGAAAGTATAAAAAACTCTTTAACCCAACTTCGTTATATGATATTTGGACATGGTGGGTGGGTGTTGTCAAAAACCCTGACACAACTGGGAATTTAACTTACTTGACAGAACTTCCAGTAAAGACAAAAGTTAGTAAGATTCCGAGAATCCAAGGTATGACACCCAGTACTTGGTACAATGTACGCATTAGTCAATGAATAAAAATGAAAGCAAAAATATCGAGGTGTATTAAACCAGAAACACAAGGAGAGGTAAATAATAATCGGATTATTAAAAATAATATTCGACAATCATTAGGCTTCACAACCCTTTCTCAAATAATGTACACAACCTGAGAGATCGCTGTTTGATAAATGAAAGTTTTGTAATCTTAACACAATTTTAAACTGACTTATATATATTTATATTATTTTGAATTGGTTTAGACTGTTCACCTAAGTATTGTTATAAACTGTTTTATGATTACAAGAGGAGGTTGCTATAGCAACAAAGAGAAACTTATAGCTGTATAGTGACAAAAGAGGTCTGCAATTGTGATGATATTCAGAAGCATGACTGGTTGAATGGTAAAGTTCGTATAATTCAGCAAATTCAAGGGCAAACTTTATGAAAACGACCATAAGATTTCAAGGAAAAACTAAAGCATGACTAAACGTGGTTAAATGGTAAAATTTATATAATTCAGCAAATTCAGGGTCAAACATTACGAAAACGACCATAAGACTTAAAGCTAAAAACAAAATAAAAACACTGGGAGTGGTATAGAGTACTTCCCAAGAATGTGGTCTTTTTCATATTGTTGTTATCTTTACGTCAATTAGCATCAAATGAGTTGAACAAAAATGAAAGCCGAATTTCAATCTTATTTCAATAAATAATGTAATAAGTATCAAGAATAGCGTTTAATATCGCATGGCCTTTTTTATTAGTTACGAAAGCAGTTAAATTTCTCTTACTTTTTACGTCATTGTTTCTCTGATAATTTTGTATTCTCTAGTAAAAAGGTGAACCAGACTTCACAAAAAAACCAGCAACATTAAAAATCAGTATTTTTGAATTAAACTTGTAAGTACGTCTATAATACAGATAAAATCTCCTATGTCATGAAACCAATCTAACTATATTTTAGGTAGTTTTAGAATTGTTTCCAACTATGTTACTTTTTTTTTATGTGGATTTTCGACATAGAACACTTCTTGACGATAGCGTATAGTTAACCAGTATTACTGTGTATATTTTACGTAATCTAAAATGTAATTTCTCAAAATGTGGGCAACTATATTCTATTTCTAAGCAGGATATGGTTAAAGCGTGTTCAGTCAACGAGCTAATTTAGATTAATGTTGTTAGAACTCAAGGTCGTATTCAAGGTTAAATGTTCTTTATACAAACTCCACTACTTTTAATCCATGGTCATCATCGAACGCTTGGGAATTAAGAAATAAACCTTTTATCTGACACACACACCCAAGGCTGAGGTGACACTTTCATGTTAAATATGACACTTGTCATAAAAACCTTCGATGTGTCTTCATCTTCTATATTGAATATTTTTTTCGTATTGAAATGTAAATTGAAGGTATGCTTTCAAAAACAGTGTGATTTCTGATCTTATAAATAAAGATAACAGCTAATTTTTACCTTCTTGTAAAGGTAAGGTAACAGGTTTAAATACCTAATGAAGTGGCTTACTGATTCTTAACTACCGTATTTTTCGGAATATAAGACGCACCTTCATTTTGAAGACAAAGTTTTGTGGTAAAAAAAGGTACAGTCGCATTTGAAAGATTTTTATTGAACAAAAATTCAATTTGATACTTTAAAAATGAGTATATATTGTTATAAACACAAAAGAGCTCAAAACATCAAAATAAGAAAATACCGTAAATAAAAAAAAGGTTTACTGTTATTTAGTTTGGTTCAAAACCTACAAAATCTTTATTGCTTTCACTGTAATTTATTTTTTTATTATTTAGGGAGCATTATACAGTCATGTTTTTAAAAGAAAAGAAAACTACTATTGTATAAATAACACATTCAATTGAACTAAACTATGCATGCCTATTGAAATATATTTACGCATGGCTTGTGTATATCGTATATATTATTCCTACCTTCGGTATTATTATTATTATTATTCATACCTTCGGTACGCAAGTCAAATTTTGACATCAAATTTTGGGGTAAAAAAAGTGCGTCTTATAACACCGAAAAATACACGGTGAATACTCAAATGCTACTAAAACAATCCTATAATGATGGTTTAGAATATATATATTACTGGTTTATATTTTTTACGAAAGGTTAATTTTTCTTATTTGATCAGAATTTTGTTTTAATATGTTTGAAATGCTATCTCATTGGAACATTGTATGCACACATTCTCGTTATTCTCTATAAGTTTTGTATGCCTTACACTTGCACATATTGTATACCGAATAAACTCTATGTGTTTTTGATACATAATGAAGCTTAAAACCTGTTCATATATTTAAGATTCGATTCATTATTCGCCGAAGGCATGTTAAATTTAATTAATAAAAACAAAAACACGACGGTAACAACTGTAACTGTATTTAATGAAATGTTTCAAAATCTACATATTAAATTATCAGCAATCTGTAGACAGACATAAATTGAAGAATATACACAATATGCATACATACAAACTGGAAGACTATTAAATACCGAGTACGTTCTATTAGAAGGATTTTGAATATGCAAATCAGCAAGTCACGTAACGACCACAAAACGTTGTGGTTCAACGGCATGTATCTGAACTACATTTGGATATTGTGTAACACTATGTAGGTAACGTGATGCTGATGAAAATTTGTCTCTTTTGGGAATAGAATGTAACAGCCTTTTCCAATGCAAAATATTCATACACTCAGGTCACAAAGGTGTATTCATATTGGGGATTTAGAATTTCTAAGATGGGGGATATTCTTTGTACTTTATGATATTGAAAAACAAAGAAATATGAATCAACTTGGAGCACCAGGCCATCCAGAAAGAGATCTGCAACAAGTCGTACCTCACTAAGAAAAGTGCGGCGTCTTGTAAGAGACGAGAATCCATGAGCATAAAGGTCAGTGGCAAAAGCCGTCTACGTGCCCCAGGCAACAGTGTGTAAGATAATCAAGGAAGATCTCACTCTAGAAACGAGACCAACAAGGTATTGGTTCGCTAAATAAGGCTTCCAGTCATACATCCCGTTCAGCTGTTGTATGTCTAAAACAGCTGGAGAATCAAGAGGGACTTCATGTTATTCCATACGAAGACATAACTGTCAAGTCGCCGGATGCAGCGCCTATAGATACTCGTGCGATCGGACTGTTGAAACGGGAAACCGTCGTCCTCGTACACTAGATGGATTATGGAAAACAAGAATACAGGAGTGCTTTAGAGATGACAACTTTGACACAGGGCTTTTTCAATGGAAAGAACGTTATAGGTCAGATTCATCTGAAAGAGCATGACTAGACATAGCGATATGGCCTGTAACTACGTAATGAGGCGTCAAAATCGTTTCAATATAATGTACTTAATCATCTGTATATCGAGGAAAATTTACTGAAATATAAGAGTATATGTTTAAAAAGTCTACGGAACAAAAGAAGATAGCGTTCATATGCGTAGGAGAAAATAAAATAAACTTATTTAAAATAAAGACAGTTGAAAGGAGTTGAGTACTTCTTAAGTTTGTATGTCCTATCAATATCTGTAAGTTTTCTTTCATGAGTAATTCGTGGTTGGAGGAATCCGAGGTTACAACTTTAAAATAAGAATCAACTTGGAGCACCAGGCCATTCAGAAAGAGATCTGCAACAAGTCGTACCCCACGTATGCTGGCAGGAGAAGCACTTAGGGATTTCAAAGTTTTTATCTGGTTCTGCTTGAAATACTGGAGCGATTGGACTTTAATAAGTGTATCTTCAATATTACGAGTGGAACGAAGGAGAATTATTCATTTTCCGAGCACCCCTGGTCTTAATACCAAAATACCTGCCACGAGAATACGAAGACGATGTTCGAAATACCCATATATTCAGAGATTCTTACGTTTAATTGGCACTAGGGCTAAAGATCACTAAAAGTATACTGGTTGACGAACACAGTAGGATAGACAGGAGGTGTAATTTGATCGAAATATATTATGAAGGATCACTGGAAAATCATGCATAGTGTAATTTGTAGATCAAAAACGTTAATCAGTTTGTGAAGCCGTGTTGTTATAGGAAGACTTTGTTTGACGAATAAAGAAAATATAAGAATTAACGATGGAATGGATGGAAGAATAGTTATTGTAAACCGTGTTTAGGAGGTTTAGTAGGAAGGAATGGATGGAATGATAGTTATTGTAAACTCTGTTTAGGAGGTTTAGTAAGATGGAATGGATGGAAGAATAGTTATTGTAAACTGTGTTTAGGAGGTTTAGTAAGATGGAATGGATGGAAGAATAGTTATTGTAAACTCTGTTTAGGAGGTTTAGTACGAGGTTGTTTTATAAAGGAACTGGCATACAATTGTCAAAACGGGTATACAGGTGTTATTTTCTTATGTTACAGTACTGTTTTCGGTATTGGTAGTTTTTGCTTGTTTCAATTTATTTGAAATATTTTATATAAATTTGTAATTTCTCAGCGTATTTAACTTCTTGCATATAACTAACACCTGTTTATCCGATGTTTTAATATTAAGTGTTTCTTTTTCTATATCCATTACAACTTCTCTGGAACAAGATGTATTTTGTAAATCTAAACCCTTGATTTACTTTAAAGTTTTGTAAAAAGTAAAGTCGCATCATAATTTATTTGTGTATTCGGTATTTGTTATCAATTAAAAATCCTGCTGTCAACTTTTACGATTTCACCGAAAACATGGAATGATTTTTCGTTTTTCTCACTGAACTCACTCTGAAACACACCAGCACAAACTGAGTAACCATATATAACCAGGCATTATTTTGAGATGAACTTTCGGGCCATATCATCTTTCACCAATTCATGGACAGTAGTTAAAAATATCACCGTGTTTAACTTTAATCAGACAAGTTTGATTGCTGTGCTATCTCACGAAAAATTCAGACAAACTCAAACATTCTTTCAGAATGGGAAAGTAGGCAGAGATTCAAATAAGAAAAACATTCCAACTTTAAATTTCGTTTACTTTGCATTCTCGAAGGTTCACTGTAACCAGCTGTCTGCCTTATTACAATTACCTGTGACTAGCATAAAATGCCCATACTCTGCTGCGGGGATCAAAGTTCCTCATGATTCACAGAGGCCCCAGTGAACTAATAAATTTCCTAAATTATTCACAATTACTTCAATAACTACCTCAAAAAGTGTCCGCACAAAAACAAAATACACGTTATGATTTTACACGTTATTTTAAGCACGTGTACCAAGTATGGTTCCTTTAGTAGTTTCAAACATAAATACCTCTGGGATTTCGATGCCACATTTGGATTCAGCGACCCTCAAACCTACTATTAGACTTTTATCAGGTTCAGATAATCTTTTTGGCGCGTTTTAGCCTCCTTGGTATCCCTTGATAGGAGAACTATGCTATATATTAGAAAAGATACTCCCCAGGCTTGTCTATGTCTGCATACTAAGTTTGTTCCTGGTAGCTCGAAAAGTGTGGGAGGAGTTCGCAGACAAACACACGAAGTGAATTACCATAGGATACACACAAGACAATTTTATTCTTTCATTAAGAGAACTTGATTTATCCAGGTCTAACGCGAAAATTTAAGACAAAGAAAACTGAGACGTGAAAATCTAGATTTTATAGCACTATTTTCCTGTTTTGCATACATGACAAACACCAGTTTTCTTTTTTTTTTAACTGGCCACACGGCTTTTCTGGCTGCTTCCATTCTTCCTCATGGAGTTTCTGATCTTATTGCAAGAGTTATTCACATTACTGGGAAATTAGATCAAGGTTGCTGAGGAAAGAACGCTGTAATATTACGTTCCCGGCTTGCACTTTGAAGGATGCCAATAGTTAAAAATGACATTGAGAGGAATACTGATGGAAGAACTCAGGATGGTAGACTCTGTAAACGGATGTAATTATGGGTAAGCGAGACTGAACTTTGAAAAATTCATCCCCCCATTCCTTTGTCTGTTTTTCTGACCAAATTCTATTGTTTTTCCAATATAATAAAGCTCAGTGGATCACGTATTCTCTAGCTACCTATATGAAATGTATATAAAAGCTCTGATTTTTAGAGCCTGGGACATTGTCATTACTAAGTAAAGAATAAGAAGGCTCACTCGAATCATAAAGGTAAGCCTACTGTGAACTCTAACTAATATATATATTTAAAAATCTGATGTTTTTTCGTGTATTGAAAGAAAGAGATTTTTATATTATGATATCTATAACAGTAAAAATTATCTTTATTTTGATAAAATGCACATTTTAATTTCAGCTGTTAGTGCTATGTTCTTTGGTAGCCGCTGCCCAAGCTGGTTTAATCTACACTCCTGGTCTTATTGGAACTGGAGCTAGTGCTCAGTATCGTCGACAAGATGTAAGTATACAGTGTTTAAGTTTTGTTGAAGCCATAAATAATATTTAGGTTAGTAACAAAGAAAGAGTTTAGTAGCAGTTGTGTTTATCTTCCTTTGTTCTAAAGCTATGTGTTTCATTATAGTGCTTAGACTAATACAGATTATATTACAACAAAGACAAATGATTACGTTATAAACTACCTTAACACAGCAAGAATATTTTTTTTAAAATTCCTAGACAAATATATAGATAATTCTAACTATTCAAAAATGCATTTTTGACAGAACAACAACAACAAAAAGAAAGGAAAATTAAACTTAAATATTTTGGTTTAGTATCGTAATGAGTATATTTCATTAGAATTTTATTGAAAATTTTAAAGAAGTCGAAACGTCAGTTATAGTAAATTCTTATCAAGCCAGAAACAGTATTTTCTAAGTAATGTCAATTATGTATAATGTTCGCTGCGCAACGTTTAGGAAATTAGATTTCAATCTCTATATTTGATCAACATTTCAACTGTATATCTTCGGGAGCAGTTCACAAGTAAGCTTTTGTAAGGCAAGAAGCTGAAACATTCAACTTACAATAAAACAATCATATTTTTCTCGAGATTTAGATCATAGTTGGATCAATATGGGGTCAATTTAGATCATGTTTGGATCAGTATGTGGCCAATTTAGATCATGTTTGGATCAGTATGTGGCCAATTTAGATCATGTTTGGATCAGTATGTGGCCAATGCTATAAACATTTGTCAGTTTAATGAACACTTTATTGTTTTGTCTTCTCATTTTTATCAATTGACACGTTATCATTCTTCACGTTCACTTGCATAAAAATTCCATGTCAAACTCATATTACAGTACACTTGTTTAGCCACGAGTTCCTAATTTGCTGATTTATGTTTTGTATATTTACGTTTGGGAGAAAGTGAGTTATTTAAAAATGTTATTCTTTTGTATACGCAGATAGTTCTTGTTCACTTCTACTATAATATTTTAATGCGTGATGTGAGTTTTTCATATATCATTTATGTCAGTTCTTTCTAATAGAATATTCAAAAGTTAAGATCTTTCTTTCAAAAGCTTAATATCATCGAAAGTAGCTATATCACAACTTTTAATTCAATACTTTTATTATCATAACGATTCTCTTTTTTAATGTCGTTATTTATAGAACATAGGCTTTCGGTTACAACGAGGGACATTTGACAGGCGGCACCTTCCGCAAGGAGACTGGCGATGCCTTCGGCAACAAGATTGGTTCCTATGGTTTAAGGGATGCTGACGGCCGTGTTCGCACAGTAAACTATGTTGCTAATGCCGCTGGTTATCGTGCTGACATTTCAAGCAACGAGCCCGGTGTCGAACCTAAGGATCCTGCCAGCACTTCCATCAATAAAGGAGTGGTTGTTGCTGCTCCTGCCGCCCACGCTCTGACCTACGCCGCGGCTCCTGCTCTGAACTACGCTGGGGTCATACCTGGCGCCCACACTTACAATTATGCGTATGGTCTTCCAGCTTATGGTCATCATTATTTCAATTACCTTGGAGCTCACCCCTATGCCTATACCTGGTGATCCAATCACCGACACATCTTCCACGCGCTTGTTTGATAGCTCATTTTAAATAAAACTTTTGTTCGATAGACTATATAAACGCTAATAAAAGTAATCTTTTAGAAATTTCCCTCGACTTCCCTCTCTCTGAACACGAGTAAAAATGTGTATAATATTTGAGATTGATTTGAAGAAAAAAAATATTTTCGCTACGACCTAGGTTAACTAATCCCATTGCAAAGGTAAAACACAAGGATAACTCGAAAAAGTATACACACTTGTGACAATTTTTTATAAAACCGAAGAAAATCCTTTTTGCATTCTACGTACGTGTGAAAGACGTAAGTTTTGTTTGAGATTTTTCAAGCAAAAGTGGGTTTCAGACCTGGTTGTAAATAAAGTGACCCCCAATCATTATTTCACTTCTTTATTACTAACGAATATAATAATGATTGTGGGTCTGAGCAAGATCAAACACCTTTTTGAATAATTACAGACACTACCATAAAGATTTAGCAAAAATATGTATTAAACTGTAATAGTTAATATATAAATATTGTAAGATATATCAGTGTATGAACTTGAGCTTCTCGGCTAACCATGCACTACATAATATATCGATATTACGGAATGAAGCTCAAGAACGGTGCTACATTTAAAATGTTTCAGACCAGTTAAAGAATATCTACACAATAAAAATGTGAGTTGTTTTGAGATTTAATAAGAATAAATTACGAAAGTCGATATGGTTTTTCAACGTTTGCAAATCCATTGAAGTTGTGGTATTTCAGGTAAGAAAACTTCTATAGGGTAAAGTACAAACCGTTATAACGAGATATTTTACTTATGGAGTTGAACTAAATTATGACATAAAGTTTTCATGATTGGACACAAGTTTCACGATGAAATGAAAACACTTTTTTGTATCGGATACAAGACAAAAAATTGCAATTTAATTAGAAGTTTACGCAGAGACTAGCCCTTCTCTGTAAGTGGAGAGAGATCGGTATGAAATGGGAAACCGCATAAAACCGAAAGTATGCAGAGAGAAAGGCCAGAATATTAATAGTTTGTGAAATTATGATGAATGGATAAAGGTTACAAACGTTGTAGTGTTGAATTATGATGAAGCAGATAATATGGGGAGAGTAAATGCTAGTTCATTTGTAGTTCTAATTTTTATTAAAATAAGTAGCAATAATAAATATAATATATACACAAATTAATAAATGGTGTTAAAATAAATAACATTGTGCCACTAATTCTTACCCTTAAAATCTGATATGTGAATGACTTAAATAAAATGGATAATAATTACAATTCATTTGCTTAATCTGGCTCACACCATAACAGTCGTTTTTCATAAAACTGATGATATGTATATAGCGCCTAGACCACTATTATTTCTGTTATATCCCAGCCAGCCTGATGAGCTGTGGTATTAGTGAAAAGGTCGTGTCAGGACTTGATACAGCAGATATGGTGTGGTTGACATATTATATATAACATATTCTACTTTGCTTTCACTCGTGCGTTCTTACAATAAGATAGGACATGTGAGTCTGGTTTATCAAATAAGCCTCCTGGTGGCTTAGCAGTGAATTTGGGGGTTTTTAACATTAAAGACTGCAATTTGACCTACGTGGTGGGTACAGCTCAGATAGCCCATTGTGCATAAACAAACGAGCATCCCAGAAAATGTGATTCAGAGTTTGGGGGTATTGCACGCACGCTCTCTTTAATTAAAAAATATGCGAAATGACACCAGTTACCAAAATAATGAAACTTGTAATATTTGAAAAATAATGGCATTTTCAATAGTTCAAAATTTATTGGTCCTATGAATAAATATATATAATTGATTTATCATTTATTGTTATTTTAAATTATATAATGTATTAATAAGCGTTGAAAATAGTTAGCCGAAAAAATAAACGTAATAAGTTTACTCTACTACGTTTAAATTTTGTTTTTCTATTAAGTAAATCGCTTGGATTATATACAAACTGATCCCCCGGTGAGTCAGCGACTTAAAACGCTTAAACCCATGGCTCGATTCCCCGCGATGGATAAATCGCATATAACACATTGTGTAGCTCTGCGCTAAAACAAATAAACGGGCGAGCTGAGTTGAAAGAAATAATTTGTGATCAAGTACTGAGTTTACCTACAGGATGTGGTAAATTTTTCCTGAATTACAGTTTACTTTACTTATATATTGTATTAATTAGTGACTAGGGAAAATAAACAAACAAAAAAACTCATGCTTCGCGTACGAAACACTTTCTTGGTTGTGGTGTTTTGTATTTGAATCCACAAAATTTATAAAATGTTAAGGCAGTGCTGTGTAATTAAAAGTATTATTAAAACAGTTAAGCGACTTGCGTTGACTACCCACTTTTGATGGTAGGTACGTAGATTTCTCAACGAATCTGATGGCCATGCGGGACGTCTCAATGGCTGCGAGGTTAAACCTTTTCTACAACACGTGAAACCCACCAGACACCTGTAGTACAAAAGGCACTTTGAGCTGAATGGTCTGATCAAAAATGACAAACCTATAAACTTATCTATTAAGAGACAAGAATTACTTACGCTTTGAAAACCTGGGTATCAGGGGAGGGAACATTAAACCTCAACGGGGTGACGGTACCAGTACTATAAATGTCATAAACAAATGAAGAAATTCACAAACAAAACTTTAATACATAAGCACTGCTGTATGAGATGGGTTCTTTCCATTCCCCAATACATATCTTGTATTGTGACGTCGCCCGTACTTTCCTATTTCTAATTTAATTTTTGCATAATTTATTGAAGTTTAAAAAGCTTTCCACGCATGCACACACGTTACTATTTTAATTAAATAGATAAACAGCTAAATTTACCTAGAAGCTGATCTGTAAGAAATAATTCCTGATCAAGCAGTCAGTTTAGCCAAAAAAAAATCCTGATTATATCTTAAAATTTGAAGTTTTTAAAGGATTAAATTTTCATATAATTTAGCCAGAAGACTTTGATGGGCACAAAAAAGACAAAAATTACACTAGTCTTGAGAGGATACGCATGTTAAGAAGATGTTTTGTTATATATTTGTTTGTTCAAGCAGGACTACTGCAACTCAGGCTTTACTTGCATCACATGTAAACTTGGATCCATCAGTTTCATTAAATGGATTTATTGAACATTTATGTGTTGAGGTAACAAGATTTCACAAGTGTGATATTAAGGTTTACGTGACAGAAGTACCTGGGTTTTACAAAAAGAAAAAAGAGGTATTTTTTGTAATTTCTAATATATAGGTGTAATTTAATGTTATTTAGTGTCTCAGTTGTAAGCTTAAGGACTTATAATGCTAAAATTCGAGGTTCAATCACAGCGGCGAATACAGCCCAGATAGCCCATCGATTAGATTTGCACTAAGGTAAACAAATGTAAGGTAAAGGGTTTCAAGCTTTTGCTACTGACGATCTTTATAATCAAAACATGAAGCTCTGTTTTATTAAAAGAAAATGATAATTTTCTAAGGATCAGTCCTATCTTGAACATCAGACAGTCTTCGAAAGAGCTTAAAATGTAAAATAGGTAAATGACAAAGCGATTAATAAAATTTGGTTATTCTAATCTTAACACGTCGTTGGTGATTTTCGGTTAACACATTGTTGGGCAGATGAAGTGGGAAACAATCTTATAGGCCAACTGCCAGAAGTTACTATCAACTCGCGTTATTGAAAGCTGGTCTAAGGAATTAGAGCTGAATAAAGAACAAAGTATTTAAGTTTTGTTAAAATGACGCTCGATAAAATGTTTTTGTTAATACTAGCGTGACAGTTTTGGGTGTGTTTACTGTGATTCATTACGCCTACAGTTCGCTACGAAACCTTGACATCACACCTTCTTTGTGGAAAATTGACTAGCAGACACGAATGTAAATTTTGTTTTATTATAAAAACTTAATATCAATTAATTTTTGTTATCAAATAGCAGAAAAAGAAATTATCAGCATGAATTCACCTATCGGTATATGGTATTTCAACCTGAACGACACCATTTTTTTCGACTCGTGGGCTAAGCGACCAGATCAGAAACCCGAAGATTCAGGTAAAGCCGACCGTAATTTAGAATTGGTAACTAAGGGGGAACAGCAGTTCCGCAAGCCTGATGAGGCTAATCTTACCTGACTAGCGATATTGACTGTTACAGTTGTAGTACTCCCATAACTGAAAATGCGGAGTATATTCAGCAGTATAGCGCGGTTCGAAGTTTAGACTTTCCGATATGCATCCAAAACACTAATTCATAGACAAATTTATGTATTGATAAATTTGACAGAAAATGTTTAGACTCAAGTGTGTTTGATAAATTTTATTTCACTTATTTTTAATTTCAGATTATGATATTTTACTAAAACGTTATATTTTACTAACTGTTTTAATATAATGACTTGATTATAATATTGAGGCCACTAATGGTATCATTTAGGGTTTGTTTACTGGACGTTAAGATTTCATAAATTATTATTCTTTAAGTTTTATTAATTGAAATATTTGATTTTTTCATTGTTTGATATATTTAATGTTTATGCGTTAAAGTAAGAGGGTTTTACTAAACGCAATCTTTAAGTATTATTAACTGAATTACACAGAAGCTACTTCATGCTCATAGTAATATAAAACACAAGAAAAATTGGGAACAACACGTTATAATTCATGAAACCATTAAAATGTACTAACCCAGATCTAACATAGAAGCCGAAGCATGTAAACTTTATCATTTTTAGACTTCTCCGGTTTGCCATCATCTAACATTTTTAGGCTACCACGGTTTGCCATAACCTACCATTTTTAGACTACTCCGGTTTGCCATAACCTACCATTTTTAGGCTACCCCGGTTTATCATCATCTAACATTTTTAGGCTACTACGGTTTGCCATAACCTACCATTTTTAGACTACTCTGGTTTGCCGTAACCTACCATTTTTAGGCTACTCCGGTTTATCATCATCTAACATTTTTAGGCTACTACGGTTTGCCATAACCTACCATTTTTAGACTACTCTGGTTTGCCATTACCTACCATTTTTAGGATACTACGGTTTATCATCATCTAACATTTTTAGGCTACTTCGGTTTGTTATCACCTAAAATGTTTGGGTTCCTTTGTTTGCCATTCACGTCACACGTTTTTGTTACTCTGGTTTGCCATCATCAGGTGCTTGACATTTCTTTTTCTTTTTTTATGTTTCATTAATTGAATTATACAGGTTTTACACATTCAGTTACCTAGTTCTCACAGACTAGATTGTTCAGGATTTACACAAACTAATTTATTCAGGTGTTACAAACTAAATTGATCAAGTATCATAAACTCCAATGTTTAGGATTTAAAAATACAGTTAACTGTTCAAGCCTTAAAATCTCAGTTATTAAGGTTTTACAAACTATTTTGCGCTTTTTACTAAACACATTCCTCAAATTTCCAAAAATAAATTAGTTTCTTTAACAAAAGTATTTAGTGGTTATGTTCAGCAGTTTAATTAATTAATCTCAGCAATGGGGATCATGAAAAATGCAGATTTAATGATACAAATTAACGAAATGCTATGTGATACTGGAAGTGATAAATATAGTGCTTACAGCTGTAAATTTTTTTAGTTTTTTTTTGTCAAAAAAATAAATCCTAGTCTTAGATACTTTTTTAGGGCTAATCAGTTTTTAGAACTCTTATCATCTACAACTACAATTTCAGGTCACTGCTAGAAAAAAACAGATCAGGGTAAAATAGACGACTACTACAGAGTTCAGAGAGTCGTTTTCGTTCCCTAAAAAAATCACTACAATCAATGTGATCCATCCATTTAAGGATCTGTCATCTCGGGATGGTTTGGAGGTCAAGTGATCTAGTCTGGTAGGTTTACTTCTAGAAGGTCTCTTGAAGGGGCGTCTCCTGTCGGTGCTGCGTTAATAATGACCTTCTTCAACAATAAATTCCTGATACACAAAAAGATTGCACAATTACAATGTATATCACGTGATTCTACTAAGTAAAATGGAACAACGTCAAGACGAAGTATAAATACTGGAAATGTCTGGTTACTCTTCACTCATCACCTCAGAAGCCAAGTAAGGTACTTTGGTCTCAGGTGTAAAGTATGATGAAGGTAAGAGACTGACTAATTATTGGATATGTTAATACTTTCAACATATTTACTTTCAGTAACCATAACTCTCGTTTTGTAAAAGTCTATGATTGTTAAAACAGCGGTTCTGGAAAATGCTAGATTTTATGTTTTAATACAGCTAACATTGCTCAGTATTGTTCTTGTACATTTGTTTCTATATCTAATATTGATGACATTTTTAGTTGACAGTCATTTCTATACATCTAACACTGTTCAGTATTGTTATTGTACATTTATTTCTATGTTTTTATATATAGTGTTGATGACATTTTTAGTTGTTTTTATATATCTAGCATTGTTCAGTAATGTTTGTTTAGATGCGTTTCTATATCTAACAAGAATTTAAAAAATTATTAATTTAAAAAGGAAGAATAGAGATCTTGAAAAAAGTACAGAAATACGATACGTAGCTTAAAGTGAAAATGCAATCGCAAAAATGTAAATAAACAAGTTTAAGGTTTGAGACACAGAGTTGACATTATTTCATGAACCTACAAATCCATATTTTGACCCTCCTAAATGTTGTGAATTTTAGACATGGAGTCAAAATAGGGATTTGTAAGTTCATGAAATAACGTCAACTATATGACTCAAATCTTAAGCTTGTTTGTTTACTTGTTTGCGATTGCATTCTCACCTTAAGCTACCTATTTTGTTTCTGTAATTTTTTGAAGATCCTTATTACCCCTTTTTAAATTAATTTTTAATAATCTTGTTTCTTTAGTTTTATATCTTTATTATGGACATGAATATATATTAGCAACACTGTCCTATTTGAAATAGTTTAGTTTAATGAAATAGGTAGTTGGTGTATGGTGCTCTCTCGGGAAATAATGATGTCACAATGTTATCATTGATAATGGTACTGTATGTATGGTGATAAACATACCACATGTTATGTATATGCTTGTAAGATATATATAGCTACTACATTTATACCCTGTATCTATATGAGGAGTCTGTAAACACTGTATTGGAGGGGCTACTGAACTATACTTGAATGGTACGTGGACTGGATTTTGTAACCGCATGAGTTTTATACATACATGCATATATATAGCCATATGGAGTTTTGAAGCTCTATAGATGCATGCATATATATTTAATACAAATATATGACAATGTCTCATAGTATAATAGAATATGGATACAAATAACCATTTTTAATATTTCTTATAGTTGTTATGCTTACTCTTCCTCCTTGTCCTCGTCGCTGGCCATAGTAAGGCAGGCCATGGTTCTCCTTTAGCTGGCCAGATTTCCTCTTAGAGTGATATCCTGCACACTACAGGTTGAAAACATGTTAATTAACAATAATTCATTAATGTATCTTTCCCCTTCCATTTCTGAAACTAAATATTTTCTAAATAAAATATATAACTATACAATTTCGAACTCACTTTCGCCCTAGAATCGCCATCATTTTCGCCATCTTTTGCTTGCACGATTCTTGCTACTCCTTATAGTCAGCTTCAAGGATGGCTACTCTATGTGCAGTATCTATAAGATTCGCAATCACGTAGTGTTGGCTATAATTCAACACCAACCATCAGCCATCACCGTGATTGCCGATCCGATGCTGGAAACTCAGCTTGGTGATATATATTTTAAATTACGGCTTAATTAAAGATTTCTGTTATGGGAGACAATCTAAACGTTTGTGTAACATGGCCGAAATCCATCATGCAGTGGTAAAAAAATAATAACATCAACAAAACAACAACAACTGTGGTCCTGTCAGCAGCGTCGTGTGCAACAGGACAGGAACTATATACATAAACAAATGATACACAAATCAATATAGTTCCAACAATAAGTTAATAATCGCTATGGTACATGTGTCACGCCTGCCATATAAACATTAAATTACATCCACGGCCTACACGCAGCTATATACATATGCATGTAGTAGATTATGAGGCTCCATACAAACCATATACTACATTAAAACGACTGGGTGTCAACGGTTATACAGACGCTGTTATTCGCTAGGTAGTCAAATGAACTTAAAACTACTCTACACAATGTGCAATGATCTATTCAGAAATACTGCCCAGGTTTTATTAAAACACTCACATCCATTTTTGCTGTAGGCTGGCGGAACGATATTAAATAAAATAAAGAACAACAAATGGACGATCCCTATTATGAACCATTACAGTGGTTCATGATGTTGATGACATTTTTAGTGAACACTTGTTTCTATAAGCTAGTGATGTTAATATACTTTTTTCTTTGTCATACAGTTTGTGTTAGTCTTTCATTTTTATATACTTCATGTTGTTGAAGATGCTAATTTATTTGTCATGTTGATAGGGAACCGTATTTTTTAATATAAGTAAGTGTACGGAGATACAGCGTTTACTGTTACGATGTTGCTGTCACAGGTTTTGTTTCTTTACAAATCTCTCATGTAGCATTTCCTAACAGAATGGCGTTCCTTCAGTCTCTCAGCGAATTCTAAAAACAATTAGTTATTTTAATTTAGATTTTTCAAAAATATAATTTACATTTGTACCATAAAATATTCTGTTGCATTTTCTTCCACCTCAGGTCCTGATCTTTTGTGCTTTTGTGGCTGCTGTCCAGGCTGGTGTACTCTACACCCCAGGTATTGTTAACACAGGGGCTAGCGTTCAACATCGTAGTCAAGATGCAAGTATATTTTACATAGTTTGTTATAACTTGAAATTATAATTTCTTAATTCATGAAAGTGCAATTTAGAATGTATTTTTTATAGACATTTATGGGATTAGAAGAAAAAACTGTTTCATGTGATACTTGTCCATATTGAATATGTAAGTTTGTAAGACATGTAAACTTTTATCATTCTTACAGAGTTTGGGTAACTACAACTTTGGTTATGATGAAAGTCATCTTACCGGCGGTACTTTCCGCAAGGAGTCTGGCGATGCATTCGGTAACAAGGTTGGTTCCTACGGCCTAAAAGATGCTGACGGTCGTACCCGCACCGTTAACTACGTAGCTGATGGCAGCGGCTTCCATGCTAATATCCACTCTAACGAACCTGGTGTAGAGGCCAAAGACCCAGCCGATACTAGCATTAACAAGGCTAAGCCTGTTGTTGTCGCTGCTGCCCCTACAGTGACATATGCTACTCCTGATACTCATGCCGTATCCTACGCTGCTTCTCCTGCTTTTTACAGTTACTCTTCTGCTCCTACTTTCTATGGCTTTAAGTACGCCGCCAGTATTCCTTCTGTCCCAGGATACAAATACACCAGTGATCCTCTTGTTCGGAGGTACAAATACACTAATGTTCCAAGTTTCTATAACTACAAGTATGCTGGTGTTCCAGTTTATCATGGCTACAAGTACATTACTGCCCCTAGTTACTACGGTTACAGGTACGCTAATATTCCTGCAATCTATGGCTACAAGAATGCCGTTTTTCCAACTACTTACGGTTACAACCTTGCTGGATATCCTTACTTATGGGGAAAACATAATGTGTGGTAGAAAGTTCTTTGTATACAATCTTTATGGCATGTCTCCTCTAGTTCGTTTTTATTGTTTGTATTATACTAAATAAATAACACATTCAAGGATTTAAAATGTTTGTATTTTATATAATACTTATTTTACCAACTCGTTAAAAACTAAAATATTCAGAACGACCGAAAATCCAATAACTGGAAATCAATACTTATTCTGGAAAAGAAAGAAAAAAAAGCTTTGGTAATAAAGAAATATTGAAATTTAAAAACATATTTGTTAGTTATAAAATGAGACGAGAAATCTTCAACATCGTGTCATGGAAACACCAAAATTGTGTCATGGAAACAACAAGATTGTGTCATGGAAACACCAAAATTGTGTCATGGAAACACCAAAATTGTGTCATGGAAACATTAATACTGTGTCATGGAAACATTAACACTGTGGCATGGAAACACCAAAATTGTGTCATGGAAACAACAAGATTGTGTCATGGAAACACCAAAATTGTGTCATGGAATCATTAATACTGTGGCATGGGAACACCAACATTGTGTCATGGAAACATTAACACTGTGGCATGGAAACATTAACACTGTGGCATAGAAACACAAACATTGTGTCATGGAAACAACAAGATTGTGTCATGGAAACACCAAAATTGTGTCATGGAAACATTAATACTGTGTCATGGAAACATTAACACTGTGGCATGGAAACACCAACATTGTGTCATGGAAACATTAATACTGTGGCATGGAAACACCAACATTGTGTCATGGAAACATTAATACTGTGGCATGGGAACACCAACATTGTGTCATGGAAACATTAACACTGTGGCATAGAAACACAAACATTGTGTCATGGAAACAGCGATAATAGGACTTTTCTAGTCGTGCCTTAAATGACCTAATTCTTGGCTAACAGTAGTTTATTATATCCTTCCTATCCAATAACAAACATAAATTGTACGGTGTTATTTCAAAGGATTATATATATATATATATAACGTGATTTATAGACTAATTACCAGATAATTAACAATATATGGTATAATACTCATCAGTATTTTGACAACAAAAATTCGTGTGTCATTCGACTCGCCAACTGATGTAATACTTAAACATATATCTAGAATTATAAGCTACTAATAACTATACGTATTGGTGAGACTAGGTTTGTTAATGGAAGACGACGAGATAGTACTTGATTTTCTTTCTCATTGATTGTTTGGAAGTTGCATGTGTAACATTCATATTTTTATCAGGACAGAGACAATAGTACTTTATGATACAAGTTAAGAGCACATTGTGTAAGACAAGAGTTGTGAAGATGAACCAACCGTGTAAGCTAAGAGAACATTGGTAAACAAAACAAAAAAAAAAGATAATATTCTATACATTATGTTTTCTTGTGAGAAACAATAATTACTCACAAGAGATTTCGATTAGTGCTATTTTCTGCCATTAGAACAAGCTGCGTAACAAAGCATTCACGACCTTATGGCGAAAAACAGCGTCTATATAAGCATTTTATCTTATTCTATAAAAATAAAACTATTACCATAATAAATATTAGGATAATGATGAATTACTTTTAATCGTGATGACAGTTTTAAGAATTTATTGGATATCAACCCTTTGCAATCTTAATTAAGAACAAAATAATGTTTACATATTAATTAAAAAGTTTGAGGAGTGATACGTTTGTCCATATATGCATGTGTATGTGGTCTTTATCGCACAAAAGCGTTTTTTTCAGTTTTCTTTAAACTTGTGAAAATACTTGAAATTTGGATTTTTCGTTTTAAAAATAAGTTGGATGCTTTCTTTAATAAAAATATCATGTTTCACAAATCCAATGCCGAAGTAACAAATCCAACGTTTTTTTAATTCTTTAACTAGGGGCTGTTTCATATTCATTGTTTGTTGAATTTCACGCGAATTCACATGAGAGCCATCTACGTTAGCTGTCCATAATTTTCAAGAGATAGGCTAAAGGGAAAATAGCCAGCTACACCGCTCATCAGCAGCTCTTCGGTTGCTTTTGTCAAACTAGATAGTGAGTTTTGATCGTCACTCTTATTACGCACACACGGCCCCAAAGTATGGAAGTGCATTGTCGCGGAGAAGAACACCTTTCTGATTGACCAGCAAAGGGCGTTTCTGATGAAGGGCTTGATTTAAACGTTCCAGTTGCTGACTATAGATAACTGCATTGACATTTCGCTGTGGTTGAGGAGTTCGAAATGAATTACTCCTTTGATGTCCCACCAAGTGCAAAGCATCACTTTTTTGCGGATAGAGTCCAGGTTTTGGGGACGAAAATGTTTTTGTCTAAGACTGAGCCATTGTTTTTGGCATTTAATATTGGTATTTAGAATCCATTTTTCATCACCGATGACAATTCTGTCCAAAAATGGTTCACGCGCATTACGCGCCAGAAGAAACGAGGCAATGTTCGCACGTTGGAAACGATGATCATCGGAGAGTTTGTGAGGCACCCAAGCACCTTCCTTATGGAGTTTTCCCATATTCCTTAGATGTTTACGTAGTGTTTCATGAGAGACGTGCAATTTAAGAGCCAGCTCACGAGTGTGTTGCCTTGGGTTAGACTCAACAAGCATCTTCAGAGCATCAATATAAATTCCCACATGTCGGCCCCTTCCATCACAGTTTTTAAGGCTAAAGTCACCTGAACAAAATTTACTAAACTATCGTTGACACTTACGAACGTTCAAAACATTTCCCTAATCTTCTTTGATATTCTTTGTGACTACAGAGGCGTTGTTTCCCTTTATGTATTCATTACATGCCGAATGTTTGTCTCTTCCGATGCAATCAGTATTAGAGAATAAAGTGACGTTTAGGTGGTTCGTTTAACTATTATACGTGATGTACGTTTTTTGCGGGTGATTACTGAAAGTGTTCCAAAACGCGACCTAATACATCAGCACGACCAAACATATAGTCATATAAACTGATTTTGGTACATAAGGATTAAATATTCTTTAAATATGGCTAAATAGATTCGAATGATATGTCTAACAAAGCTCTCAAAAGTCAAACACTGTTTTTAGTCTTAGTGAAGTCTATATGCAAAATAATATGCTATTATAACCTAAGTCATGTATTGCTACAATAAGACTTGATTCTATTTTCTTTCTCTTCTAAATATCTATAGACTTTTACTTTTGGTCCTTCATATAAAATCCGAAGAAGCCGAATATGAGAAGGTCTATTAGGTTAAAATGGAAAATAACATTTTATGTGTTGATAACATCTATTCACTGAGTATTGTCTCCATTGGCTCAGCGGTAAGTCTGCAGGCTTAAAACGCTAAAAATCGGGTTTCGATACACGTGGTGAGAAGAGTACAGATAGTACATTGTGTATCTTTACATTTAACAACAACCAAGCCATTAAATCTTAGCTTGGCTGATTTATTGTAGCACGGATAAAGTTTATAGAATGAATGAATCAAAATTACAGTACACACCAAAGAAAAGTTCATACTCAATAGTAACGGTGTATCTGTTTATATGCTTGTGTTTACTTACGTATTTATTTTAGTTATTTCTAAATATTATCTATCAATCAAAGATATATGTTTATCTCTCTACCCGTATAGATGTACGTAGTAAATAAATAAAAATAAATGAACAAGAAAACAACAACAAATAACAATCAAATCAACGAATAAATAAGCCTAATCGTTCTTGCTTTAGACCCATTAACTTTTTGCTCCATAAATAAAACCTAAACCAAACAAAAGACAATTAATATACATAATGTAATGTAAACCTGATACAATAATTATACTATCTGTAAATAAAAGTCTACAAGTCATGGCATTTTGCTGTAATAAATTCAGTGGATAAGCTTACGAGTTTGGCCTAGTTTTGAGCTTAGCTAACAATGAAAGCAATTTGTAGTACCAGTAACTTGTAGAATTTTGAATAATAATATTATCTTTGTAAATGAAAGCGCACATACCACTTTCAAATCAAATATTTCAAAAATAACTTCTTCTGTTTTGCTGTTAAATTAAATCTGCAATATGGATAACTGGTTGAGAAAATGCACCATAATATTACTAGTACTTAATTCGTAGAAATATCTGCATTAAAACTATATGCTTTGGTGTTTTGAGATGTCGTTTATTCATATTGTGTATTTATATAAACATTCCAAGAATATACAGCATTAATGTTACTGACTTATTTTTGTGAGCTATTTAGCCAAGAAGCTGTTTAGAATATTAAAAATAAATGCGAAGTCAAATCTGTCATTCGGTTTGTCGCTGAGTTATATCGGTTTATGGTATTCCATCCCTCGTTGGTAACCCTGGACAAGGACACATCGAAAGAATAAGACTAACCTTCATAAAAAAGACATTTCAAAACACCAAATATAAGATATATATTCCACCACTATGTGAACCCCAGTCTCATTCTTTTTATTTGCCCTTATCGATGGTTATTGATGATTTCCTGAATCTGATATAACTCAGTGAAAAGTTGTAAGTCGAATGATAGTTTGGGCTTCATCACATTTATCTTTTAGTATATTAGAACTGTACATATTAAAAGTTAAATATGTTAGATATATATTATTATACATTGCTATTTCACATTAATATTGTAAATTATAAAATAACTCAGATAACTTTTTGAATTCGGAATTAATCTGCATAAGTATTTATTTTTCATTATGTTGTCACAAGTCAAGTGTTGAATGTAGACAGTACGCCCGATGTTTAAAATTGAATGAAACTTAATAAGAACCATTGTTCTTAACTTGAAACAACAACATGCTTGAAAACGTTTGCATGCATAACGACTTTACGAGTATATGTTTGAACCTGTTTCAAGTATTTTACAGCAAAAGAAAATGCAAAAACAGGCAATATTTTCTCAGAATTAGCATATCTCAATAGATTCACGAATATCATTACCATTGGTTGTGCAGGTTATGCTAAAATAACAGTTTTTCCCCTTTGAGCAGGCCATGGAAACTATAATGACTCGGTTGATAATTCAATCGACGAGCCTAAATAGGATATATTGT